CACACTCACCACTTTCTATGAGTCTATGAGTCCACTGAGTATGTCGCGTGAAGACCAACTGCACAGAATTCACATAGAAGTGTAATATGCCCCTCCCACCAGAATAACAGGCTTATATACTGCCCAATATCACGCGTGATAATGAGGCATTCTTCCCTGCGGTTCATTTTCGGATTTCTGGAATTAATCCAGAACGTCTCGAGAGTTTTGCGCGCTTGTGTTCTCGGTTCCTGTGCGAGGATCGTGACACGTACTTCAAAGTCCTCCCCGTTATGTCTATGGGTCCTATACGTGCCCAATGAGTTATTTGGTTTACGTTTCCCGACTAGGTGTTCTTTTATGTGAACGCAGAGTGGTCTGCCCGTTTCGCCAATGTATTCGCCTCCGCACGCCTTACAGAGATCAGATAAACTGTACCCGAACTTCTTCACTCACCGCCTCTACCATTAAGGCAAATTATGCAATTTTGCGTTGCACATAGACGGTCATAGAGGCGGTTACGAACTAGCCCGCGCCTAAGAGTATTCGGTGGCATTTCAACTACGTTTACCGAATTCTCTAGACCCGCTCTTCTTAAGCAGCGTTTTATAACTGCACTTACATCATTTGAGATAAAGGGTAGGATAAATGGAACCTTTCTATCGCTAGAGTTATCGTTTGGGTGCCTAGGATTTTCCCTACACCTATCCGAGCTACAGCTCCGTAGTCATTAGAAATGGCTAGTTGTCATGCAAAGTTTTGTTTCGCGACTCCTCTCTCTGCTCTCTTCCCGAGCACACGTTAGTTGTCGTTCGAAACATGTATCTCACAAGCGCCCTTTTTGTGTGTGAAGGGTGAGAGGAGAGGTAATGAACAAGTATGTTTTTGTTACTTGCCTTTCAGTATCATTTTGTAATATAGCCGCTCTCTGATATGTTGATTTGCACGTTCAGAAATGGTGGCCAGTTTTCCTTTGGTTTCTCTCGGGTGACCTTAATATGCTCTGACTGTTCATTTAAGAACTCAAAACATTTGTCTATTTTTTCTTGTGTTGAGCAAAAGACAAAACAATTATCTATATATCTACAGTAGAGTAACGGCCCGAGCTCGATTACTGGCGCTTCCACCCTAGGCATGAATGCAATGGTAAGGCTTGGTGCCAGTCGTTGTCCCATTGCCAGGCCTCTCATTTGTGCGTAATACCTCCCGGACCATTTGAACATCGAACAGTTTAGGTACTCCTTTAAGAGTGTCATCAACTGCTGAATTGAGAAACCATACATGTTTATACACACGATGCTGGGGTGCGCAGTAGGTAGACGATCCAGAAGCATCCGGATATTCGTAAGATGGGCAGGAACGTGCTTCAACAACTGAGTAAATATTAGGGTTAAAAACCACGTTATCCTATCCGTTGGTCCGTCTGCACAGCTAATGATGGGTCTGACCTTAGATAACGATGGGTTGGTAGACACAAGATCATCGCTGTATTTTGATAAGTAAGTACAAGATGGGACATGTTGGTAGGTGAACTTTTAGTTAACAGATAACAAATGATTTCAGACCAACAGTCCTTACCGAAAATGAACCACAGGGAAGAATGCCTCATTATGAGTGGTACTGAGCAGTATATAAGCCTGTTGTTCTGATAGGATGGGCAGATTACGCTTCTATGTGAATTTTGTGCGGTTGGTCTCCACGTGCCTTATTCTGTGGAAAACTCATAGAAAGTGGTGAGTGTGCAAAGAATCTGGATGATAACCTTACCATTGAACAAGAATGGCCAAAGTAAAGCTTGGGTAGATGAACGGAGAACACTTAGGTACTTTTAAGGCACTTCAACATTTTCTTTCCTTCCAACCATTTTCCACTAACGTGACCATCCCGTAGTGTTTGCAAGTTGAAGCTCTGCTATCCCTATTATTAAAAAGCTCTTTGGTGGTCGAGAACCTGCTTTTTTCAGAAGATCAAAGATTTCTGAGCAACATCATGTTCAGGTTTTTACCTCAGACAGGAGGTGACCTTTATAAACTGCGGTGAAGTTCTTCATAAAACGAGATGATTTCTTCTAGAAGAAAACTCTTCTAGAAACAAACAAACGGTAGGTGTTTGAATGAAGCCGTTTCTTATGCGAATGCAAATCGATTTGTCAAGTTTTATCTGCTGGGGTTGTGAAAGTGTTTGGCTGAGTAGATCACATCTCAATTTGACCTTTCCAGGCTCTGAAGAAGGCGAAACCGCCGAAACGTCAGCAATTGTGTTCTAATAAATTCTATATTAACAACCTCGTGTCTGCTTATTGAAGAAAAACATTGAATCTTCTAGAAGAACCATGATTTCTGTTATGGCATAGAATTCTCTGATTAGCTGACCCACATTTCATGGTCCATGTAGAAGGCTGAACCCACTGCATCTTCCGTAGTTTAGCAAAGGATTTTCGGATAAAATTTTGCAAGAGAGGTATTTCTAAATGTACACGATAACAGAGTGTCATCCCTTCTCCATCTTCATTCCCACAGAGGTTGACCTTTACGAAAAAATTCTAAGTCTTTCTTGATTCTTATATAGATTGCAAATTAGTTCTTGTTTAGATTTCAAAAGAAGGGCGGAAAGTACAGTAAGTGGCAGGTGCCCATCGTCACGAACACGGTGCTGGTTCAGTCTCGCCTTGGGTCCACCAAGCCTCTCTCATCCCTCCTGGGTTGGAAGAATGGTATCGGACTTGTTCGAAAAAAAGTCACTTTTAACATTCCATGTGGGAATGATCTAGTAACTATCTCAAGACCAGCGAGAATCGACTCGACGAACATTCTACGACATTCAAGATGAAATCAAAAATCCTCAAGCAACAGCCGAAACAACGAGGAAAGGTTAAAAGACCTTTGTGGATGATAGATGAGAAAAGGCGAATTGGATGTGAGATGTACTGGGGCCGCACAGTAGATGTGAAAGACGGATCGTATAAAAAAGAGTAGACTGCAAGTCAGACTATTTTCATCTAGCGCAATCATTCACCCTCACAGTGGGCATTGAAAGCAAGCTTTACTCACCTACTTGATACTTGAATGGCCCGCCCTCACTGGTTGTGCAGGCTCCAGCATAATCACCGTTTTTTGTAGATTTGCTGGTTAAGCCATTATGGTTCCCTGGAGTCCCGAGGTCAGTCTGGCCAAAGTCTGCTTCAGGGAAGACCTGAACGACGGGCAGTCGCAGCCCTTGTGGATCAGAGGGAGATTTACGACCATGCGACTTTGGTACAACGACGGTGGTGGATCTTGGTATTGGTGAACTCTTAGCTAGGCTTCCTGATAGAAACTCCGGACTCCATTTCAACTTGGGAGAACCTTCCAGGAATAAATTTCCGGCTGTATATCGTAGTGTCGGACACCTGGGAACACCTCCTAGCCACGATGAGGCGGTAAACCGTTGGGAGGAAAGCAGGCTTTATCCAATAAAATTCCTGCGCAATCACTAGAGAAATATTCACGTCACACCTAAGTTACCCATCGTCCCTTTGATCGTCGAGTGATTCGAGCGAAGGCCAGTAAATCTTTTATTCCTTCCTATCTCGTGCAAGAATAGCTCACTGAGTTGTGCTCGCTTTGGGGACTTATTGGTCATTACATCGTTGTTCTAGGATTACATGAAGAACTCTGACCACTGAGTGCAATCATCTTGGTCCTATAATTCAAGAAGTTTTATGGGTTTTAAGAATGTTTTTTCTAGCTTTTGCAGCTTCAACTATAACTGTTCTTGTTCTCTCCTTGAGATCTTCTGTTATCGCCTTTCTGCTTTGTTTCGCAAGCTGTACACAAGTGGGCTGTTGTCTGTGCCTCATACAACTTCACATCGGCGTATCAGCTGGAGTGCTTCTAGAGATCTTCCTTTTGCGGTTTTCAGATTCTCAGCCTTTACAGCGTTAACATAAAAATGTTCAATCATCCGGTTGTATTATTCGTCGACGTGATTAATAATGGCATATTCCCAATAGCCGGCTAATTGTCTAAATAAGTCGCAGTTAATGTTGGCTTTAAGATTTCCTTCTTTAAACATAGCCGCCTTCTCTCCCTTGCAAGAAACTAGACTCTTGCATGAAGGTAGGCGATGGCCTGACTCCATGTGGAATTTTAGCACAACAGGGAAATCGGCTAGTCAAGGATCCCCTTCACAAAGGAATCTGTTGCCTGCTAGTTGCGACGCAACATGGATCGCCTACCATGTGGCGGATCAGGGGTTAAACGCGGACCAGAAGTGATTTTATGCTTCTCAGGGAAAAAGTAGATAGAGGGATGAACCGTCTACTTATACAGCGCTGATTTGATAGACACTTTGTGTGTTTACGAATACATATTTATGAACGCCCACTCTCCTAATTCGATACGGCAGCGGCAGCATACTAAAAGGACTTAATGTCACTGCTTAGGTCATCATAATAGTTTTATTCGTTTGTCTGGTACTTTTTGGAATGTCGTCACTTTTCATTTACCGTCTTTCCTTTTTAATTGCAAGGTATTACGTGAAATATAACCAAAATGATGTTGAGATATTTCCAAAACTTCGGAGCACAGGTGTCTGCAGCGAGGAACGAGAGCGTTACTACCCTTTCCGAGGCTAACGCGCTCATCACCACACCAAGCGAGTCCTTCGTTTCGCTTCTCCCTCACCTGTGTTCTCATATCAACAATACGGCTGAGAGAACGGCGAAACGAAGGACTCGCGTGGTATAGTGTTGAAGGCGTTAGCACTGGAAAGAGTAATAGTGAATTTGTTCCCTACAGCAGACAACAGTGGTCCGGAATTTTGCAAAAGACTTTTTGGAATTTTTAGCAAATAGAAAGCGCTAAACGAAAATAGGAAGAACAATGAGATTTATGGAACCAAAGCAACGAATTTATCCTGGGGAAGATGCTATAAAAGAAGAATTCTACCATATCCATGTGAACAACGTGTTGAAAATCAACCTATGTAAAAAGTTTTATTGTTTTTTTTTCTGTAAAATTAATTACATGTCTACCCGTAGCTCATAGAAGGGACGAGTACATCTTATCAACCAGTAACCGCCATGGCTCGACGTGGTCAGCGTCGGAGATCTTAAGACCATTACAGACGTAAGCGTACGACAAGTTGTTGTGTAGGTCCACACGCACGTTTTGTCCACCGAATCCCGAATGTCCAAAAATCCACTGACCCTGAAGACAGTCAGTTATTATCACAATGGCGACTATTTGATTCTAGAGAACATTGAGCTAAAATCGACAACTTCAACGAATCACAGCTTTCAAATAAATGCTCTACGTAGCACTATTCCATGACGAGCAGTCTTTTTATGTATCTTAAATATGGCCACCAAAGCTGGATTCTAACTCTTAGTAAACGTGTCATCCGTAAGGTTTAAAGATGTAAAAAAACTGATTTGATTATGAAGAATGAGGCGACTACTTATGATTAAAGGTTGTTTTCGTTCAAATTCGTCAGATTAAACAATGACGAGATTCCTCATTGATGGCACATCTTGTAACAGTTCCCAGGATCGATTTTCTATTAACCTCGGCATTGGAATATGAATGCGTCGTTTTCTTGTTCAGCAATCGCAAGGTATTTAAACAGCATACATTTACTTCCATAGAAAAGCACAATACTACACAACAGTAGCTGACGTTTCGGCAGTATTGTCTACTTCAGAGCCTGGAAGGGTATACTGATATACAATCTACAAGGCCAAACGTTTCAATAACACTTACAAAAAGACGAAAAGCTCTATGGTAATTACACGATCAACAGTTTCTCGAAAAACTCACCGCTTTTTTTTGTGACTTCCAATTAGTAGGATTAGAACAGCTGATTATGGTTCCATATGGTTTATGACTGCACCATCCCACATCAGAAATTCATGCGAACATACGGGGTCAGGTCGCACATGACCTCTGGGCATTCATCTCTACTATTCATTGTAGGGTCTTTGGCATTTATCCAAAAAGCCTCAAGAAGTTTTCGCGTTGGTGTTTTAGTCTCCTGTGCAAGGATATTGACTTTTACTTCAAAATCGTCTTCGCTATGCTTTTGTATCCTATGCGTACCTAGTGGGGTACTTTGTCTCAGTTTTCGTTTGCCATCTAGGTGTTCTTATATGCGGATACACAAAGGTCTGCCCGTTTCACCAATATATTCATCTCCGCCATTGTTACAAGAGATCAGGTATATCGTACCTGAACTCATGCAATCACCGTCCCTGCCGTAAGGGCAAATTACGCAATTTGTTGTTTCACACAGACGGTCATTTAGGCGGTTACCAACTAATTGGCGACGTAGAGTAGTCGGTGGTATTTCAACTATCGCTACCGATTCCTCTAGACTTGCCCTTCTTAAGCATCGTTTAATAGCTACGCTTACTTCATCGCTAATAAAAGGCAACATAAACGAGACTTTCTTTTGGCCAAGTGTTTCGCGTGGGCGCGTCGTTCTCCTTGCAAACTTATCTCGTGGGGTTACTATTTCGTAGCCATTGGAGATGGCTATTTGCCCAGCCAAGTCGCGTGATTCTTCCTTTAGTTCCCTACTTGTGCGCACAGAGGTGGCTTTTTTAGGAAACATGTTTCTTACAAGCACCCTCTCTGTGTATGAAGGATGGGAGGAAAGGAAATGAACGGGAATGTTTTTGTTACTTGGCTTTCGGTACCACTTTGTCAAGTAACCGCTACTTGATAGGTTTATTTGGACGTTTGGAAACTTAAGCCAGTTCTTTCTCGGTTTCTCTCAGGTGAACTTTATGTAGTCAGGCTGCTTGTTCAATAATTCAAAGCATTTGTCCATTTCCTCCTGCGTAGAAAAGACGACAAAACAATTATCTGCACATCTGCAGTAGAGTAGTGGCTGGAGATCAAGACCAGGGCTTCTATCTTAGACATAAACACAATGGCAAGGCTTGGTGCCAATCCCTGTCCTATTGCCAACCCCCTCATTTTCGCGAAATATTTCCCAAACCATTTGAAAACCAAGCCTGTGTAGGCACTCCAAGGCAGCCATAATCTGCTGGATGGACAAGACATGCATATTTATTCTTCATTCGTGTTCAACAAGAAGTTCGAAGATGGCTTGCATAGCGGAGTGATTCGACACGTTAGTGTACAGTGCGGTAGCATCGAAGGACTTCATCGCGTACGCTTATTAGGAAAGGCGTTACGTAGGGCTGTGATGGTGCAAAACTTGGGCACAATGTCATCGAAATGGAACTACTTCGAGCTGCACTACGAAGCAAGTAGAACGAGATGTTTGCCAGAACGAAGAAGTGTGCAACGAAGGAACATTTTTGTGTTTGTATTTGGAGGATCGCCTTTGGACGAGAATAGTTAGTGGATCAATATTGATATGCGACCTTATTAGGTCTGATGTCAAAATAACCTTACAACGAAAATTCGAAAATATTTTGACTAATTCACATGTCTCAGCTTTAAGAAACAACGGCAAGAAAAATCAGCGCGTAAAACTCTTGAAGCGTTTTGAATCAATGCCAAAAATTCAAAAATGAACGGCAAAGAGGAGTGTCTTGTCATCACACGTGACCTGGCGCCATACCTCAGGCTAATCCAATGACCTGACGCAGACACAGTTATCGCCCATGTATTACTCTGTGCGGCTGCTTCTCAGCAACTAACTTAAACACAACAAATAAACGATAGGTGTTTAAATGAAGCTGCTTCTTATGCGAATGCAAATTTATTGTTAAGTTTTATCTGCTGGGGTTATGAAAGTGTTTGGCTGGGTAGATCACATCTCAATTTCACCTTTCCAGGCTCTGAAGAAGGCGAAACCGCCGAAACGTCGGCTATTGTATCCTAATAAATCCTATAATAACAACCTCGTGTCTGCTTATTAAAGAAGGACATCGACCCGCAAAAAATTTTTTAATGCTTCTGATTATAGTCAAAATAAGGTTGATAATGCACCAAGAAATTCTAGGGTCACCGTGACTGGGGCATAACATTACCTGAGAGTGCGCGTTCGGTGTTAGAATTGGGCCCAGGTTAATGATTTTATGGAAGTGAATGTATGCTGTTTAACAACCTCGCGATTGCTGAACAAGAAAGCGACGCATTCGTATTCCGGATTGAACTAGAACCGGCGTTATCGTCACCTCATTTTTAGTTCGGTTTCGTAGCATAAAAATTAAGATGTTTTATGCCGTTGCAAAAGAAATATCATTGTACTCGTACTTCTGGATTGATAAAAAAAACAAAAAGCGTGAAACTTTATAGTTCCGACTACTTACTGCTGGATTTTTCGTGAATTGGTAACCGTATCCTTTATTCTCTGCGTACCCAATCGTCTCATCGAATTCGTTGTGAAGCGTCGGTTCTTCAAGATGCTTATAAAATGCATCGCTGAGAATTCGTCGCTCAGAGAGGAGAGAATGAAAATGAGCCAACGACCGAGCGTTGCCGATTCCCATATTTGACGGCATTGGAAGAAGCCGATTATCCAAAATATTGTACTGAAAGGGAAATACTATACGAAAAGACATTAAATTCCAAAACGAGATGATAAATGAACATTCGAGATAAATACGAATTTTAAAACCAATAGTAAACAAGAAGAAATGAGCCTGCTCGACCTCTTGTAGCTCGTTTGGCTTTGCATATCTTATTTAGTATTGAGAAATACTTGTTAACTCGAAAGACCGATTTTCTATAAACCTCGGCATAGATAGTTGATATATTTATTCGTGTGATCTTATAAACTGATCTTCTTAAGCTGACGCGAGGTTGGTACAGATCTTCGTTGTCGTTGTCGTTGTTTTTGACGTTATTGATCGATGGCTGACGTTTCGGCGACTTCGCCTTCCTCAGAGCCTGGACGTACTTTATGTTAGAATACTTTTTTATTATTCGGTGGAAAAGAAGGTTAAAGTATTAATGAAGATCAAACTTTCAAATAGACGCCATATTGAACAGAAAGGCCACCCACCGTGATGTTACGTGCAGAAGTGGGGGTCAAAATACCACTTTGAAATGGGCGCCAGGTCACGCGTGATAGTGAGGCGTTCGTCCTTCTCGTTCATCTTTGGATTTTTGAAACTTATCCAAAACGCCTCAAGAGTTTTGCGCGTTGATGTTTTTGATTCCTACGCTAGGATCCGCACATTCACTTCAAAATCATCGTCGTTGTGCTTTCGTGCCCTATGCGTACCTAGAGGAGTGTTCAGACCAATTTCAGCTTTTCATCTAGATGTTCTTTTATGCGGACACAAAGTGGTCTACCGTTTCCCCGATATATTCCTCGCCGCATGCATTACATGAGATCACGTATATTATACCTAAACTCATTCAATCCTCGTCTTTCCCTTTAGGTCAGATCATACAGTTTTCCGAGCTGCACAAACGATCATAGAGACGGTTTCGAACTAACTGGCTGTGTAGGGTATTGGGTGGAATGTCACTAAACGTTACATAATTTTCAAGACTTTTTCTTAAGCACTTTTTAATGGTCTGACCTACTTCATTTGGTATGAAGGGTAGCTTAAAGGGGATCTTACTTACGTCCGAAATATTATTTTGGGAAACTACCCAACGTTTTTCTCTAACCCGAGTGGCTTCCACTTCGTAGCCATTGGAAATGGCAATTTTTCGTGCCAGGTTTCGCGATTCCTTCCTTTCCTCTTCTCCTGTACACACATTTTTAGCCGTACGAAACATATTTTTGATAAGTGCTTTTATAATGTGTGAAGGATGAGAAGAGAGGCAGTGAACTAGAATGTTTTTACTACTTGGCTTGCGATACCATTTTGTTGCACTTATTGAGAACTTTATTTGGACGTTTAAGAATGCAGGAACAGAGGAGCGCCTCAGTAATGTTTCTCTCTATCGAACATCCTCTGAAAAGGAATACAGAAATCAATACCGAAAATGGAATCAAGAATGGGTCAGCACGGCAAAGGCCGCGGTTTTAGAGCCTTCAGTTATTTCTCGACTTAAGAATGAACACCCGATTTGCTCTGTCCTTTACTTGCTTATTAAAACATATAAGCTTACTTCAACTGATGATATTACGTCAACGAACCTATCATCATATAAAGTAAGACCTATAATCAGTTGTATAGGCGGGCCAACGGATAGAATAACGTGGTTCCTAAGCCTTATCCTAACCCAGCTGCTAAAATTCATTCCAACCCATCTAACTAACACCAAAAGCGCGCAACCAAACAGCACGCATATAATAGAGTCATTCGATGCTAGTTCACTTTATACCAGCGTGTCCAATGACTCCGCAATGCAAGCCATTCTTGAGTTGCTCGTAGAGCATGAAAAGAAAATAAAAATGCACGGCTTGTCGATTGCGTAACTAATGACCCTCTTAAAACAGTGTCTTAGTTGTTCAATCTTTAGGTGGTCTGGAAAATATTTTGCACAAATTAGAGGGTTGGCGATGGGGCAGCGTCTAGCACTAAACCTTGCCATCGCTTTCATGTCTAAGGTGGAAGCTCCAGTTCTCGATCACTGACCCTTACTCTACTGTCGATACATAGACAACTGCTTCATCGTCTGTTCCACACAAGAATAGATGGATGAGTGCTTTGAATTGATAAAGCGACAGTCAGAGTATATAAAATTCACACGAGAAAAACCTACCGAGAACTGGCTTCCATTCTTAAACAACCAAATAAAGCTCTCAGTAAGTGGCTATGTAACAAAATGGTATCGCAAGCCAAGTAGTAAAAACATTCTAGTTCACTGCCTCTCTTCTCATCCTTCACACATTATAAAAGCACTTATCAAAAATATGTTTCGTACGGCTAAAAATGTGTGCACAGCAGAAGCGGAAAGGAAGGAATCGCGAAACCTGGCACGAAAAATTGCCATTTCCAATGGCTACGAAGTGGAAGCCACTCGGGTTAGAAAAAAACGTTGGGTAGTTTCCCAAAATAATATTTCGGACGAAAATAAGATCCCCTTTAAGCTACCCTTCATACCAAATGAAGTAGGTCAGACCATTAAAAAGTGCTTAAGAAAAAGTCTTGAAAATTATGTAACGTTTAGTGACATTCCACCCAATACCCTACACAGCCAGTTAGTTCGAAACCGTTTCTATGGTCGTTTGTGCAGCCCGGAAAACTGTATGATCTGTCCTAACGGGAGAGACAGGGATTGCATGAGTTTAGGTATAATATACTTGATCTCATGTAATGCATGCGGCGAGGAATATATCGAGGAAACGGGTAGACCACTTTGTGTCCGCATAAAAGAACAACTAGATGGAAAAGCTAAAATCCGTTTAAACACCTCTCTAGGTACGTATAGGGCACAAAGCACAACGGCGATGATTTTGAAGTGAATGTGCGGATCCTAGCGCAGGAATCAAAAACAACAACGCGCAAAACTCTGGAGACGTTTTGGATAAATTTCAAAAATCCAAAGATGAACCGGAAGGACGAATGTCTCACTATCACGCGTGACCTGGCGCTCTATTTCAAAATGATATTTTGACCCCGGGGCGTGTCTTGCTCGCGACTCCGCGTGAACTACGTGTGGGGCAGTCCCGCACGTAACATCACGGTGGGTGGCCTTTCTGTTCAATATGGCGTCTATTTGAAAGTTTGATCTTCATTAATACTTTAACCTTCTTTTCCACCGAATAATAAAAAAGTATTCTAACATAAAGTACGTCCAGGCTCTGAGGAAGGCAAAGTCGCCGAAACGTCAGCCATCGAGCAATAACATCAAAAACAACAACAACGACAACGAAGATCTGTACCAACCTTGCGTCAGCTTAAGAAGATCAGTTTATAAGATCACATAAATAAATATATCAAATACTTGTTATTTGTGAAAAACGACAATTTTTCTCGCTTGGAAATCTCACTAAATTTATGCGCAGTTTTCCCTCTCACAGAGACATAGAAAGTTCATGAAAGATACAGAGGTATATTTGTCATTGGCAAATAGCCAGTTTTGATAGTTGAGTGAGACGTTGTTTTGTGTTTAAATATTCTTACGTCGTTGGTTTTAATCCATGGCCATGTTTCATAGAGCTTTTCGTTATGTTCGTTATCGCCCGCCATCCACTTTCTCAACACTTCGGAATCTCTGCTACCTTCAGCGTTGATTTGCAGGTGCCCGGGGTACAATAATGTTGCAACGCGATCGTTATCACGGGCTTGACGCAGACCAATAGAAAGATCGGAGATTCCTTAAAAGAGCTGGTAAAATTCGTGTTTTCAGATTTCCTAGTAAGTTTTTAGAGAAAGTGAAAGCCCGGCTAAAAAGAACCAACATTTTCTGATTAGTTTACGAATCAGCCTGCATAAGTTTAAGTGGCAAGATGGCAAACGCCTTCTAACGAATAAAAACACTTATTAGCAATAACGAACCAAGCTCTACCTACAGAACTGTAAAGGTCCATGGCTTCGAAATGTGATAAAATAAACGATTTATTATGAAGTTTAAACGATTTATTGGAATTTGCATGAGGATTACCGTATTCTCTCAAAATCTTCTCTAAAATGTCACTGACGTTTCGTTTTCTCGAATCGATTCGTCGTACAATTTGATCGATCAAAAACCTACAAATAATTGTTTGCATTCATTATAAAAAGAGTATTATCATTTCGTTAAACAGCTTTTTAGGAAAATGAAGGAAATTCCATTGATCAAACACTTCTTCATCGACTGAACTCGTTCAAAGTGGTAAGGTTTAAAGCACAAATCCGTTGTGTGTCATCCGTGATCTTTACAAACAGCGATTAATTACGATGATATGTGGTTTTTATTTCAAGTGTTCTTACTTTCCTCTTAACGGCTCACCGCCTCATGGCGTCTAGATGTTCCTGGGTATCGGGCTGCGATGTACAGTGGAGGAGGTGGAGGAGATTATCTCCCTAGCAGACCTTTTCAAGCTGAAAAGGAGTCCGAAAAAGTAGTTCAATACCAGCATCCACCACCATGCTGGTATCAAACTAATCGCATGGTAGCAAATCTCCCGCTGATCCATAAGGATGGTGACGGCCTAGGGTGGTGACGACCTGTAGAAGGCTTCGGCTAGGTTGAACTTGAGATTCCAGAGAACGACAGCGGCCAAACCAATAAATACCGAAATTATGCAAACAACCTGGGAAGATGAACCATCCAAGTATCTAGCTAAGTACTCTGCACATTATTTATTATTTTCTATAAAGTTGCGTAGGGCGAGTGTGGCGCAGTGGTTGGAGGTGCCACTGTGACACACACGTGGAATCGATCCTCACGCCCGTGGCCCACCAGGCCTTCCATTCCTCCGGGGTCGGCAAGTTGGCATCAGACTTTTTTGGGAAGATAGCAGCACTGGCTTGATACATCGGTAGGCCACCGCGAGTCATTGTAAAGGCCAGATATGCATTCAATCACCTCGAATGATACTTAATGAAGTCGAATGCATGGCGCATCCCTCAGAGATTGATCAACGCCGAGAGCTTTATCCTTTATCCTTAATTATTTATAAAGTTGTGTATCATTTAGGACTCCTGCCTATTCCTTTTTCACTACAGGGCTTGATATGAAAAATAACTACCATGATGCTGAGATGTTAGATTGTTCAGATGTAAATAACCGCTTTAAAATATTTATTGTGCTAGTGAATTTTTTACCAACAAAATATTTTTTGTACCTTGCAATATTATATATCATTTTAAGAAGTAATTCTATGGCTTTTTAAGCTGTTTTTTCAATAGCTAAATTTTTTCACCAGTATTAAGCTTTGCAATTTTAGATGTCGAAAGAAAATTCTCGTCAGATTTTCTTTCATGAGTTCAAACTCCGTCGTAGTGTAGCAGAGACGGCTCGAAATACTAATGAAGTTTGAGATTAAGTAATGTTGCTGAATCAACAGTGCAAACATGGTTCCAGAAATACCGATGTGGTGATTTCGACCTCCAAGATGAGGAAGGCCGCGGATGCCCAATGAACTAGACGACGACGAATTGAAGGCACTGGTAGAAGCAAATACGCGAACGACTATTCGAGAGCTTGAAGAACAGCTTTGCATAAGCACAGGAACAATTTCAACCCACTTGAATCGCATAGGAAAGGCAAAAGGCTCGACAAGTGGGTGCCGCACGAATTAAGCGATAACCAAAAAATCGCCATTTTGAAGTGTCACCTGCGATCACTTTGCGCAACGAAATAAACGATTTTTTTGATCGAATTGTGAGGCGCGACCAGAAGCGGATTCTGTACGACAACCTACGATGTTCAGCTCAATGGTTGGATTGCGATCAGGCTCCACAGCACCTTCCAAACCGAAATTGCACCAAAAAAAGGTTATGGTGACTGCTTGGTGACCTGTGACCGCGCTGAATCTGCCACAGCTTTTGAATCCAAGCGAAACGATTACGGCAGACAAATATCACCAACACATCGACGAAATGCACCGTGAACTCCAGCAACAACAACCGCCATTAATCAACAGAAAAGGACCAATTCTTCTTCAAGACAACGCCCAACCTCACGTTGCGGAATCAACGTTGCAGAAGTTCAACGAGTTGGGCTACGAAACTTTGCCTAATCCGCCATATTCATAAACCTCTTGCCTACTGACTATCACTTCTTTAAGCAGCTTGTCAACCTACTGCGCAAGAAATGCTTCACCAATCACGATGACGCAAAAGTGCGTTCAACGAACTCATCGCTTCCAGAAGTCCAGAGTTTTGTGAAACTAAAATAAATAAAATTGCCTTTTGTTGGCAAAAGTGAATACATTTAAATAGTTCTTACTTCAGTTAACAACTTTTTTGAAGCAAATTATGGTATTTTAAATAATACAGTTGAAACGCACATTTATTTCTGAACAACCTAATATTTGCAAAACTCGGGAACACAGGTGTCTGGGGAGGGATGTGCGGTGGCTGTGTTATGCTTTTTTCCCGGCTTATTGATGAAAAATAAACAAATGTTGATAAAGACCGACCCGAATGTGAGTGCATGGTAACCAGTTCGGGTGCCGGGTGTCCAAATTGGTGTCGCCGCCTCGAAATATTCACTCAATCGCCTCCAGTCGAGGACGTCGTCTCTGCTAATCACACGTTTGGTATACGGTAACCCGGCCTGTGCGCAGTGAAAAAATAGAAGAGATGAGAAATTATTCGCAACGTAGTGATAATATTCTCATTATTAATGTTTAACGTTTAACTATTCTACGATATTTATCTTTTCTTGGGCAGCATGTGAGCTTGTCTAATTGCACTGTTGGCGAAAGTCAACATACGAACCAGTTGGTGTTTGGTTAGAGAAAACTCTACCTTCCTAAGCTCACGCAGATTGCTGGGGAGCTGCAGGGATTGCCTGCACACCTGCTTATTTGGATTCTTGTCTGGCTAGTCTTCATAAATCATAAGGACTGCCTCAGTTTCACAAGTAATTATTAGTGTCGTTCTCTTTTTCAGCTTTCGCGAGGTTGTTATTCAGCACACGTTTCCTTCTGTACATAGAAACTAGAATAGACTTCTGTTTGTGCTGTCAAAGCGTTTGACCTAGTAAATTACACAACAGTGTACCCCGATACTGCCGAAACGACGGCTACCGTTGTATGCGTTCTATATGTACGAAAGTGAACATGTGCTGAATAACAACCTCGCGACTGCTGAAAAAAGAACGACACATTTATAATCCAATGCCGAGGTTAATAAAGAGTCGATCTTGAGGATTGTTACCATTAATTATTAGGTAAAATAAGATTTATTTGATCTGGAGTCTCAAGTCCTACTGGGGTTCATTACTTATCGGCATGTTGCTATCAAATAGTAACGATTGCTGGTCCTAGTTTATATTTAGTTGACATTTCGAATAGAAACGTTGGACTCATTCTTAACTTGGAAACCAACGATTTCATCTTTACACCTCACAATTCGACAATGCAGGATAACTATAATAGTATTCCGAGGGAAAATTGAACTCCATAGATTTTTGGGTCAATGACGATTTAAATTAAATACACACATTACTAAATATGAGTAGCAACAAGAAAAGACCATTATTGGAATATTACTACAATTAGTGTAGTTTCCAGGTAGTTTTTAATAGATTTCGGTATCCCATGACAACTACAGCATAAGTATTTGACCTGATGGAGGACGACGTCCATAATTGTGACGTCCTGTTTTCCGTTTTTGGAGAATGCTGGCCAGAAATCGGACACTTTCCGACTGTAGGGCACACTTTCTTGATCCATAACTACTGCAAGGATCGTGGCAGTTATACTCTGAAATTAACGTTAATGTACTTAAATGATACTTTTCTTCATTATTTCATTCAGCTTCCTTTTCTATGAAATACTTTAGTTTATATTATATTTTGCTGCGTATAGTCTTCTTTTTATGGAAGATTTATGAATTTTCCATTTATGGATTCTGCAAAGACATTTGTTATTATTGCGGAGAGAAGAAGACGGTGAGAGGGCTAGTGCACTGGTTGTGAAAATGATCACCGCGAGCACAGATCTGGGCCGAACCCTCTCCTCTCGATTTGCCAAGCCTTTCTTTCTTTCGGGCTCTGGAAATTGTTACCAGACGTGTTTAGGAAAGGGTCTGCAATCCAAGAGAAGCGGTTATCTCATATCTCCAGTAAGAATCAACTCAATCATCACGCAAAGACATTCGTGGCGAAAGGAAATCTTCAAATAGCAACCGAATACACACATGAAAAGCTCGAAGACCTTCGTGGATGACGGATGCGCGAAATTGAATCAAATGAAAGAAATGCTCGTGTACGCGAAGCAGATTTTAAAGACTGGTGGTACAAAACAAGAAAAAAAGCAATGAACAACAGAGCTATTAAGTTTATGATGTCTACTAGTAAATCGCCTCACACGACAACATTTATGCAATAAAGTGTTTTAAACATGTTTTAACTGTCTGTATTTTTCAGTGGGTGTTTGTAGTTTAGTGACATGAAACATCAGTCGCGCATAACGTTACCAGTTCAGCGCCGGTGTGCCCATGCCGGATATTTTCCGACATTGAACTCTCGCAAGTTAGTGCTAGTAGCCTCTTCTCCTGTTATACTCGAGAAAATGACTGCTAGCATGCTTGGGTTCATTATTTTACTTCAGATGGCTAAATATGGTCTGAAAAATGATTTCCTCCTTGTTTCATCATAAGGCGCCTTCAAGTGTCGCTACTTATTAGTCATCTTGTATGTAAAAACTGATACAATAACAAAATCCATTCACTTTTGTGGTAGAAAACAAAATCGACATTGTGTTTTCAGTCCACATTTGACCGGTTTGTCGATCATTCACTCCACCCCATAGATCTACGACCAATTTTCCATTATGAAATACGGCAAAACTTGCTCCGGCTGATTCCAAACCCATTGTGAAATTCTTCCTGAAAAAAACAAAAAGAAAGCGACAATTGAAAGGAAAACTAGAGGAGTGTCGCAATGCCAGCAGGTCGCATTACTGCCTAACCACATAATACAATGGCTAAGCAGAGAAATAACCTTGTACGCAGCTCTACCTTATCGCCCAACTTAGGCCTCCCTCAGATCCACAAGGGCTGCGACTGCCTGTGCTGGTGAAAACCTGGGGCAGACTTTGGCCAGACTGACCTCGGGATTCCAGGGAACCACAATGGCTTAACCAGCAAGTTTCCAAAAATGGGGACTGTGCTGGGGCCCACACAACTGGTGACGATGAGCTATTCAAGTATCAAGTAAGTAAGTAGTAACAATAGCAGTAACAATAATAATAGTAAAAGGATACGACGCACAAACCTCGCTGCGCTGATCAATCCCTAAGGGATGTGCCCCACATTCGACAACATCGAGCATCGTTATAGAGGTGATTGAATGCATATCTAACCTATACAAGGATTCGCGATGGCCTGCGGATGTATGGAGTCAATGTTCCTATCCTTCCAGACAAGTCTGGTACCAATTTACCGATCATACAGGGATGGAGGGCTTGGTGAGCCTTAGGCACGCGATCAATTCCACGTGTATTGCAGGCGCCTATAGCCACTGCGTTACCCGCTTCCCAATAATAATACTAACAATAATGATAGTGACAGTGTCAAATAACAATAGAAGAAACTAAACATAATAAAGTAATAAAGGTCGCAAAACAAGCAATAACAAATAATGAGGTAAAGGTTCAAAATTAAACAAATTAGAGTTTTAAAAAATTAAACAAAGCTTGAATAAAATTAAAAAAGAATAATAAAGACGAAAATGCTATATTAGGAGTAAAAATAATGACCTGAAGAGTTCATTAATTCCGGTGAAACGAGGATCAAGAATTCGTCCTCCAATTGATTCTACGGCGTGAACCATGGCAACTCGAATGTGTTTTAACCCTATAAAACTAGTAAGATTCCCAAGACCGACCTTCTTTTGACCTCGGTGTCGAGCAGTAGCTTTCTAATTTCTTAATTACCAAACACAAAGTTGTTATTATAATACTAAGGTCAAGTAGACGCGCAATCGACTCTGCTAACGCAAGATTACGTAATTTGCCCTAACGGTAAGAAACGGTGGTCGCACGAGATCGGGTACGTTTTGATTGATATTTTTTTTTCAATCGTGCTGAAACTGATTCACTGGAGGAAACGGTAGAGCACTCTGTTCCTGTACAAAAGGACACCGAGGAGGTACAAAATACTCCACTTCGCACGCATAGGACATAGGGACATAACGGAGTAGTAACTCCCACGTCCGACTTTCTATTAACCTCAGCATTGATTAAATAATTCTTTCTACTTCTGTTCAACAAACACGAGGTGTTATTTTATTTCTTTATTTACGTACAAGCTGACGTTTCGGCGGATTTCGCCTTTTTCAGAGCCTGGAAAGGTCAAGTTGACTACAATCTACACGGCCAAACATCTCCATAAGCAAACAGAGAAAATGCTGAACCAAAATCTCAATCACATTGAACACAGAGTCTTTGCACACTCACCGCTTTCTACGAGTCTTCCACTAAATATGTCACGTGGAGACCAACCGCACAGAGCTCACGTGGAATCGTAATGTGCCCATCTCATCAGAATAACAGGCTTATATACTGCCCAATATCACGCGTGATAATGAGCCGTTCCTCGCGGTTCCTTTTCGGACTCTTGGAATTATCCAGAATGCCTCTAGAGTTTTGCGCCTTGTGTTCTCGATTCTTGTGCGAGGGTCGTAACCCCTACTTCAAAATCTTCTCCGTTTTGTCTCTGCGTCCTGGTAAATAAAGAAATAAAATAACACCTCGTGTTTGAGAATTACAAAGAATAACGGAGCAGATTCTGATAAAGAGGTCTTCATCCTCGAACATGAGTCTAAAAATCCAGTTATTTGAAACCCTCGTGCTATTTTGGACAAATTTTAAATACCTTAAAATGAACGACCTAGAGAAATTCCTTGTAATCACACGTGACTTCATAGAAAATCTTACACTGATGGCTTACCATGAAAGAGGCAGATTTCCTACCTTTGTAAACTCTGTCCGTTGGATCTCTATCAAGAAGTGGAAGCCTCTATTATTGATGATGAGTGTCTAAAGAAGCTATTTCCTATGCTAGCGAAATTTAGGTTTAGGGCATTTCTACTGGGGTTAAAGAAACATTTGGCTAAATAGATTGCGAATCAACTTAATCCTTCCGTACCCTGAGAAAGGCGAAATTTGCTGAAGTGTTAATTGTCGTGAAATAAATACGTTACGTAATAGCAACTTCTAGCTAATAAAATTCTTCTGAACTCCAAAGGGAAAAAGCTCAGACCGAGTTTGCCTTCGTGGTTTCCAAAAATAATTAGAGGTGAGGAGTGCAAATAAATAGCAAGCATGAAAATAATAGAAAGTGAGAGAAAAACGAAAAAAAGTAGAAGAAGAAAAGAAGACTGTGAAATGGAGAAATGAAGAAGGAAGGAGAGGATGAGGGAGGACAAACAGAGAGAAATAGCGCATTGCATGGAAAACAACACAAAAGTGGCCGTAATGTTCCAGAACATGCAACTATAGTTGGCAAACATCCATAATATTTATACTATAATAAACAACGCATTAAGCGATGAATGAAATAAACAACTTTGATCCATAAGCGCTGCTTTGAAATAATAAAGGGTTTGAGATTTAAAAAAATGATCACCACATTATACTTGACGTTATAATGCGGCACTAGTGCGAGGTTATTGTGGAAGTGGAGCACCTTACTCCTAAGCAAAGCCCTCATGTATGGTGGCTGGAAAGCTGTTTAGGTGGAGACTCAATATTCTCTTTACCTGCGAAAGAAGTGTGGTATTTAATTAAAGTTTAAATTCAAAATTAATTCCCTAAATTATTCAATCAGGTTTACGAGGGATCGTGCGTGGATTCGGCCATAGGTTGAGGATCCGCCTTCTGCTACCCATATCAATATCAGGAACGTGTTTGTTAGTCGCAATTTATTCTGGAGACGAACATTGCCACGCAATCTCGTGAATGAAAAGACCGTGTTACTACGTCTGGGCTGGATAAAGTGTCGTGACCGGTTCAGCATTTCTATCTCGAGACTGAGTTTAAAGTAACACATATACCATAGATGAACCCTATATCTTGCTCATCCTCTCCTCAAACACATTGAAAGTGAACCAAATATAAGTCCAAAACTATTATGCCACTTGTATCAGTCAAGCCAAACGAGTCTCAATGGACTGTCTGAACTGGATCAGGAATCAAGGCTTTCACCAGTATCTGGCCAAGTGACTCGTGAATTAGAAGTACTTGTAAAAGAGATGGAGGACTGAAGTAGCAAAAAATGCAGAAAATTTCACCAAGGTTTGGGAATACATAACGAACCAGAAGTCCTGTATTGTCATAGTAATTCTCTGAGCAAATAGAAGGAGTAAAGAAAAAAATTGCTCAGTGCTGTAGAGAATGTGCAACTATATTACCAATAAAAGAGAAGGCGACTAGCGTTAGCACTGTCGTTTATTCAGATTATGCTCGCACTGTGCCATTAAGATTTTGGCATGAGTCTTCTGAACATACCAGAGTATTTTCCACTCACCGAAGCTCTCCCAATATTTCTAGAACAGAAAAGGTTTGCCAGAACCTCTAAGCCGATAAGTTATATCCTATGCCACAATTTTCCGCACGTCAGTTTTCAGAAGCCTTTGACCTTTGATGACGTCATCAAGCACTCAGAAAAAAGTGCCAGACCAACTGTAACGCTGGATAAGCGTTATTTTACCAGTCTCGTTTAAACGATTATCGACGGAAAATCTCTATCGGCAATAACCGGCGCGCACACAAGAACGCTGCCGAGTGAGATTGTTTCATTTGAACGGTGCTTTACTGTATTGGACTCAGTGCCATCTCGAGGGCTAATATCGGACAAACAAACAACCGTGGATCATCGAATCACATCAAGCCAACTGTGAGAAACGTGAAGGCGCAGAAGCGTTAGCCAAATAAAGCTTTTTTAACGTTTTGTTTTCTGCCTTCTATAATTTTTCATGGCAGGTTACTAAGCGAAATACAACCACAACGTTGCTGAGATATTGGCAAAACTCTGGACCGCAGGTGTCTATGGTGGGGAACGAACGCGCTATTATCCTTTCCGGGGAGTAACGCGTTCACCACCACACCATGCGGGTCCTTTGTTTCGCCTGTCTCTCAGCTATTTCTATCGATCTTTTTGCCACAGCAATCAGATCAACCCCGCTGACGGGTGATTGCTGTGGCAAAAAGATCGATAGAAATAGCTGAGAGACGTGCGAAACAAAGGACCCGCATGGTGTGGTGGTGAACGCGTTACTCCCCGGAAAGGACAATAGCGCGTTCGTTCCCCACCATAAAGCTTTTTTGTCAACTTCATGTTAGCTTAATAACTCGAAAGACCGACTTTCTATGAACCTCTGCATAAATAGTTGATATATTTATTTATGTCACTTTATAAACTGATCTTCTTAAGCTGACGCGAGGTTGGTACAGATCTTCGTTGTCGTTGTCGTTGTTTTTGATGTTATTGATCGATGGCTGATGTTTCGGCGACTTCGCTTTCCTCAGAGCCTGAACGTATTTAATATTAGAATATTTTTATTATTCGGTGGAAAAGAAAGGTTAAAGTGTTAATGAAGATCAGACTTTCAAATAGACGCCATATTGAACAGAAAGGCCACCCACCGTGATGTTACGTGCAGGAGTGGGGGTCAAAATATCATTTTGAAATGGGGAGCCAGGTCAGGTGTGATAGTGAGGCATTCGTCCTTCCGGTTCATCTTTGGATTTTTGAAACTTATCCAAAACGCCTCAAGAGTTTTGCGCGTTGATGTTTTTGATTCCTGCGCTAGGATCCGCACATTCACTTCAAAATCATTGCCGTTGTGTTTTTGTGCCCTATGCGTACCTAG